CCGATCGGGATAAATATCCCGTTCGGAATATAAGTCATGACTCCGCACTGACGGTGGGCATAATTGTTGTTGAATTTTTTATAAGTAAGGAGTGAAGGTGGGTAATTATTCTAAAGTTAGTTTGATGCACGGATGTGTAGAGAAGTAATTTATAAAGCATATATTGACGAGTTAAATTTTATTACTAAGTTAAAGTGATATATGTATAATTTCTGTTGAATAAAGAACTTTGGCTAGTTCGAAGTTCTAGTGGGAGGTAGGTATGTTTCTCGATAGTGGCTAACGTTGTCATATCGTACTGATCATTCTGAGTTTCATTTCTGGTTAACATGAGACGCTTTTTTCGAGAGGTTTTTATAATTTTTGCGTTTTTGCAGGTTGTGCGCGGAAGAAGAATTGCCAGGTATTATGTGAGTCCGTTTTGGCTTTAATATTCACAAGAACGAAAGTTTAGAATGAAGAAAGAAGTTAGAAAGAAGAAAGTTTTGAGAGAGGTTTAAAAGTGGATACATATGTAGCTGACATCCTGTATGAGCTATATACTAAAATCTAAGCCAACAAGAAATCTGATTGTGCAAAAATGAAAGTATGTTTATATCAACTCACAACGGTTTAGCTTTTTTTTGTCTTCTTGTTTTTCTGACGTTTAACTTTTTTTCAAGCCTGCGATTTCCATGATAAATTTGAATTTTACTGACAAATGTAGGAATATGCCAAGAAAATGAATGTTTTTTCATTCAAACAATTTCTTTCATACTCGATCCGAAGGAGTGCCAGAAGCTGAACAAAACTGTGGATTCAAAAGTTTTGGAAAGAAAGTTTAGTGCGCTCTTTTTCACTTTTAGTTTTTAAAAGTGCTATCGTTTTCTATATTTCCTAAGCTTTTTAATTAAAATCAGTTATTAGAATTCTTTGCTTATTCTAGTTTTGTAGGATGCATTTTTCAAGACGATATCTTACTCAAGTCTCACGCTAAACTTCCTTTCCGATAATTTTGAATCTGCAGTTTTGTTCGGCTTCTCTCACTGTTTCGGATCGGGTATGAAAGAAATTGGTTTGAATGAAAAAACATTGATTTTCTTGGCATTTTCCTACATTTGTCAGTAAAATTTAAGTTTAACATGAAAATCCCAGGCTTGAAAAAAGTTAAACGTCAGAAAACCAAGAAGACAAAAAAGAGCTAAACCGTTGTGAGTTGATATAAACGTATTTTCATTTTTGCACAATCAGATTTCTCGTTGGCTAAGGTTTTGGTATATAGCTGATACAGGACGAGATGTCAGGTGTATATATATCCGACTTCTAAACTTCTTTCAAGCTTTTGTGGATATTAAAAAGAAAAATAGCTCAAATTTTGTCTTGATCCTGAATTCTGTTCTTTATCGCCGCATATCCAGCACACCGATTTGAAGGTTGATGGGTCGGAAGTAGCCTACACGGTATAAGACTGTGCTTCTTGCTTATTTAATGTGACAGTTCAATGTCTTCTTCAATCGCAGTTAAACACCCACCGCAAAGATTTATCCAGAGTTTTGGCAATAATATTCTTTTATTAGTTATGAAGAAAAGAAAACTACTGTGAAAGATTTAAGGGACGAAATGACGCTATTTTTAAATGCTTTTGTTACAAGGTACCAATGACTAATTCGGATAAGATGGCAATATTTAATAAATCTTTGTCACCATACCAACGCTGGCTTGAGGTACAAGTGCCAAAATGGAAAATGGCACATGAACAAATAGCAGCTATCAATGAAAACAATGTGAATCTACACAAAAATGAATTGAAAAATATTCTAACAGAGTTGAAAGATACAGAATTGGGTCGAAAATATGAAATAACCTCTTTGTTAAAACAATCTGGTGGTGACATTGATAAATTAGTAGAGTTATATAGATCAAGTATACCAGTATCAGATTACGATACAATCATTGATTATGTCAAACGAATGATTAATGATGGTGAATCAAATCTTATAATACCATCCAATAAGGTTGCATTATATGCGCATACATCAGGTACAACCGGTAAATTGAAGTATTATCCTATTCATGTATGTCGGGCACAATTGCTAAACTTACTAGCACTTGATCAAAACTACATGTTTTATCAACAGCATCCAAAATTATTTGATGAAAATTCTAAAGAACTATTTTTATATACAAAGTCTCCTGACAAAAAAGCGCCTGGTGATGGGAAACCAATATGTGTTATATCGTGGTTTGCTTATCAAGCAATTGCTGAACATAAAAATTATCTGGAAAATATCGAAAAAACAGATTCAGAAAAATATATTGAAGTCGCTTATCCACCAACATGGCGCTTAGCATCACCACCAGAAGCGTATGAAGTATTAAATACTGGTCACTTAGAACCATATTACATGCACATATTATTCGCGTTAAAACAAGCCAACAGCCTTTTCTAAAATTACCTCATCATCATTTTAGAAACGGGGTTTAACAAATTTTAATCCATAGTCAAAATGTGATATACTGCAATTTATCACCGTATGAGACTGCCATTGACATAGTTTACTGTAAGAAAAAATCTTCTCCTTTGCGAATAAGACTATGGCAAGGCTCTTGGATGTGGAAAACATTACAAAAATATTATACACTGAACAAGTACAAATTAACGTCGACTAATTCCGCAAAACGGGAAATAGGCACTTTTAGTTCAATTCTCATTTTCAAATGTTTGTGTTAGAAATATTTTTGACTTTTCTGTCTTATTGATCACCGTTCAAATGACCTGACGACTGTAATTTTGACAAACATCACGTTTATTTTGATTGAGAGCGCTTTTACGCTAGAAAAAGCAAAATAAGTTGAAATCAGGGCTCTTTGGGAGACTCACATAACTATTAACAACACGGTTATGCAGTGATGCGCATAGATAGATGCGAAATAACTAGAAAGCTGTCTTTTAAAATTCAATAACTAGCAAAAAGTGATCTATTAATTAAACTAACTCTAAGTTGCTGGAAAATTTGTTGGCCAAGAAATTAGCTTGACTTGCTTAACTTTAGATTCGAATTAAAAAATGTTTTTGTGAACATGAGTCAAAATGACGTACATTGATAGTCTAAATCTAAAGTTAAAAAATTTAGAAATTCATTTAATACGTTGAAAAGATTATTATTCACCAATTAATTTCGAGAAAGGCCACTTTCACTTTTGGGCCAAACGTACGTATGCATGCCCACTGTCTCCTCCTACTCCTGCCAACATAGTCATATAATAGTCAAATATTTCCTAACTCTGTACGTTCAATAACAAGCGTTTTTCTCACAAATATACTGCAAATGTTTGATATTATACAAACAGATTGGCGTAAGCTCGTACATGATATTGAAACAGCAAAACCAAAATTGGACTCGCTAGTGTGGTCAGCTATACCAAATGATTTACGAAAAATGTTAATAGAAAGATTACAGCCACCTAATCCAGAATTAGCTAAACAAATAACTGATATCATGAGTTCATCAACATTACCTGTTGGGTGGGGTAAACAATTATTTCCTGAATTAATTATCACACAATCATGCTCTGGTGCAGCATTGCTACATCATAACGATAAATTAAAAAATATTCTTGGATCTGGTGTTCAGTTATGTGGAGAATGTTATAGTTCAACTGAAGGTGTACTGGGCATTAATTTAGGTTATACATCATTAAATCAATTTACATTTGCTGTGCGATTTTGTTATTTTGAATTAATACCAGAAGAACAATGGAATGAAAACATCCAGAATGTGTTTTAGTTGAACATAGTGAATTAAATAAACTTTATGAGGTAGTTATAACAAACTATAATGGGCTTTATCGTTATCGTATGGGTGATATCATCAAAATTATCGACTATCGTAATGGAAATTTACCGGTATTTGAATTGGTTTATCGTCGTAGTTCGATATTGAATCATTTTGGTGAACATGTAACTGAACAGCAAATAATTTCAACATTACAGCGTTCTATTAAACAATTAAATGAACAATTGAAAACGAGTTTCATATTGGTTGATTATTGTGCCACATCAGTTAATGAAAACAATTTATTCTATCATCGCTTATTTATTGAATTGAACCCACAACAGAGCAACGATGCTATAATACTGGATCAACTTTTAGGATATTTATTTGGTCATCATAATACCAATCAAGAGTTAGAAAATTCATTAAAAAATTTTGCTTTATTTATTGATAAAGATTTATGCGACAGCAATTATTTTTATTCTGATGAACGTTTATCTTCAAGATTGCAATCATTAGATATACTTTTATGCAAACAAGGAACATTTATTAAATTAAAACAAGGTAAATTTTTTCTAAAAGTATACTTCATACGCATGATGTTGCAAACATAGATTTCAATATTTTTTGTGCATGCAGTTCTATGAGAATACCACATAGAAATAGTCCATATTTAAGGGTCAAAGGAAACTTTTTCCACCTTGACTAAAACTCCAAAATTGTTATAATTTTCCGTTTAGACGTGTATGGAGCTCGAATTGTGATTATTAGACAGAGCTCATTTAGTTGTAGAAGAATCTTTACTCAGCAGTTTGGTTTTTGCCTACTTTTCCAATAAATGTTTCGCAGTAAACAATGCTGAGAACACAGCTGAATTCTACTAGTATTTTGAAATTGCGTTTGTAGTTGTTGTATATCTTTATTGATTCTGATAAAAAAAGGTCAGCGGTCAAAGACCATTATGGACCTAACAATAATAAAGATGTTGTCCGTAGATGGTAACAGAAAGGTAATTATGGATACGAAAAACAAAAAGAGTAACAATATAAAAACTAAGAAGACAGGCTAGGCGAAAAAGAGAGGATGGACATCGTAAAAACTGGAAATTGAAAACTACTATGTCTGCAGTTATTCAAATCTGTTCGTTTGTTGAATATACAAGAGGACTGCATCCAGTAAACATGTTAAAGTATCATGATCAAAGTTTAAGCCACTCAGTAACAAGGTGTCAACTGAAAATGTAGGCATAAAAGAAAGTTTTTGTGGAAGATTTTGTCGTTGAGTATTATATAGTGAACAGTGCAAAAAATAATGCTGGATATTCTGCCTATTATTTTCGCAATTACATTTGGGTGAATCTGTATAACTACGTCGATAGAGATAGTAATTTAGCGGTAGAAAACTTGCTTTTATCCGCATAAAGATCACTTCCTCCCGTCGCATAGAGAACTTTAACTTTTTAGAAAAAACACCTGTTGACATGTACTAACTTTTTAAAGTATCGCGTAATTTAGATATTTTCATAGTTGATAAATTCGTGTCATTCAATCGTGTCATTCCATTCTCGGGCAACAACAGTAAAAAAGTCTCTATCTGTACTATTTACCGCTATAAAAAAGGATCGCTGACTACTGCGTAAATCGTAGCTTTCATTCGGTTGGTAGATGAGAAGTTAAGTAGAGAGGTGCTAATCCTTTTAGGATTTTTGCGAAAGTCAACAATCGCAAAATTTTTAAGTGATTCTTTACACATTCTAATATTTCATATAACTTCTCTTTCGATGTATCTTTCATAGCTCCTGAGACAGCTAACGCCACTTGATATTGTAGACTTTCTAGCTTGACGAGATTCGTTTCTGCAGTCAGTGAGTAAATTATTGAGCCATAATTTAAAACCAATAAAACACAAGGCTTATAAATTGTCTCAAGGACATTTTTACGTAGTGTATGTTTGTAAAATTTCATTATACCGACTATAGAAGATATTTGAAGCAGAATCTTGTTAATATGATTTGTTCATGTTAATTAGACCTAAATATCTTACTTCTTCTTTTTCTGTGATAGATGAACCGTACAATAGCAACGGTTTAAAAGATGATGTATCTTTGTGATGATATGGCGTAGAAAAAGTAATTGACTCGCATTTAGATGAGTTTAAAGGTATATACCATTTTTCTGGCCATTCGTCTATTTTTTTGAGAGCTCGGTTTAGACTTTGCTGGCAGAAAGCTGGATCTTTATGATGATTTAAAAGAATAACATCATCTGCGAACAATCTCACAACACTTTCTATGTCATTAGATAAATCATCAATATATACTGAAAATAGTAGAGGTCCAATAACCGATCCCTGCGGTACATCTTTTGATATTTTTTTCTTCCAGAAGTAGAGCCATCCAAAACCGTATGGATTGTCCTGTCTTTTAGGTAATTTTCAATCTGCTTCAAAGCTTTACTTCTAACGCCTTTTTTATAGAGTTTTAGCAGCAAAAGTTCATGGTTCACATTATCAAAAGCCTCACGAAAATCTAACAGAGCCGCTCGCACAAACTTATCTTCAGTTCAGCTATACCAGAATTAATTTTATTGACTACGTCTGATAACAAGTTGGTAGTACTATCTTTCGCTATAAAATCCGATTGAGAAGCCGATACAAGTTTGTTATTAACGAAATGAGTATATAGTTGCCTGTGAACTAATCTTTCGGATATTTTCGATAAAGCTGGTAACAAAGTTATTGGTCGATAGTTAGATGTATCAAGACTGTCTCCATTCTTAAAAATAGGGTGGACAAAACCATGTTTTCAGTGTTCAGGAAATTCGGTCGATTCAAAGGACTCGTAGACTAATTTAGTGACTGGTTTAGTAATAGAAGAAATCATATTTCTTAGCATCCGGTTAGTAATGCCTGGCGCACATGCTTTACTAAGATCCAATTTCCGCAGAATAGTTTCAACATCGGGTAGTTGAATCATTTGATGTAAAAAATAAATGTACAGAAAAAAGTTTGGTCAGATGTGAGATTTACAAAAGAGATAGCTAACAGCGGTTTCTACTCTACTGATTAACTGCGAACTTTCGTCACAAAACGCATACGAACATTGGTTAAAGTTCACGAGCTTTCGCCATTTTTTCGCCGTTAACGACGAAAATTCGTTAGTCATAAAGACGACAGTTCGCTATGACGAAAGTTCCATAATTCGTAAAAATTCTTGTTTTTCAAGATTCATGTTAGAATTTTCAGTAAGATATAAGGGGCAAGTAAGTGAGTTCTCATCCTTTATGATTTTCTATATGGATCGATATCGCTTAAGTTGCTTTTGAGTTGTTCTATTATGACATTTCTGCCAGAACATGTAAAACAATTTTTTAGCTCAAATGCTGGGTGGAGCAAGCAATGAACAACTGAAAGTTCCACATGTTATACCAGAAACTGCTCAAAACTTATTGAACCTTATGGTAGTTCATTCAAAGCGAATTAAAGAATAATTCAAGGCAATAAGACGTAGTTGTAAGTATGAGATGATAATTATGACAATAAATATTTTATCTGTTGAGTACATGTACACTCATGATATTTGATTAGTCATCGGTATTAAATTAAACATGTTTTGTTGTTTTTTGTTCTTGTTTGGCTTAAATATTTAGACAGTTTTATTGGTTGAGCCATATCTAGATGACGTTTCAATCGTCATTGAAACTAATAAATACAAAGTGTTAAGCGTACACATTCCTCTCTTTGACTAAATCTCTAATTCTGAGTCAGATATGCAGAATATAAACTTACATACAATTATCTTCTGCAAACAAAGGCCTCTCCGGACTCACCAAAATCTCAAGAATTGACGAGCTAAAAAGTTTCAAAATTTTCTAGTGAAAAACAGAAGATTTAAGTTTTTACTTTAAAAACTTTTCATTTTATGTACTATCGCTTATTTATTATTATGTACATAATTTTGCAAGGTGCACGTAAAGCGAAATTTGAGCAGATTTTATTTTTCGCTTTTTACATATATTATGATTCGCCGCGTCGAGCTGATCACGAATATCGCCTTCCGAGCCTCCTCAAACCATTTCTTCACGGAGAAAAACTCAAATTAGTGATAGGACCTCAAAAATACAAAAAACCGTCCTCTACAATGAAACTGACCTTTTGAGGTTATATTGCAAGATGGAAGGTTCGAACCGTATTTCTCTGAATCAGCATTGAAAACTGATTTACAAAAAGGTTTTCATTTCGTTTCAGAGGTAAACATTCGCCATGAACGCCCGAACCAACAGCTGTCAACTGGGTATGACTCATTTTGTAAACCTATCTAGTTTTTTGGGTGAAGGGCTATACCGATGATTCACATATTTTCACATTGAAAAATTACCGAGATTCACACACTATCAGATCGGCCAACACGCCAACTTTAAAATATGAAGAGCTTTTTTAAAATTTTGTTTCGTTGCTGAGAAAATTCCTTTTTCTAAATCAGTTTTCAATGCTGATTCAGAAAAATATAGTTCGAACCTTCCATCTTGCAATATAACCTCACAAGGTCAATTTCATCGTAGAGGACGGTTTTTTGTATTTTTAGTGGAATAGTTTTTAAAATAAAGTCATTTTTAATGCCGCTTTAAAATTACAGAAACAGGAGGTCTCACCCATGTCAGCTGCTCGAGAAAAAAATGCCACGCATTTTAGAATAGGAAGGAATCTTCCTGTACTGGGAGTATTTTTGAATCAGTAAATAAAAAAGGGCAGAAACATGCTGGTCTTGTAATGAACTGTTGCGATCGCTGATTTTCTACACACACAACAAGAATAGAAAATCTAGTGGAAACAGTATCTAATAAAGGCAGATTCGTTTTACTGGTGTATTACAGTATCGCTGTTTCTTTTTTTTACTTGAAAAAAACTAGAAAGGAACTTTAAACTGGGCGCTTTGTTTCTGTTAAACATTGCTATGAAAAAGCGGTGCAGCATAGGGGTGTAACCGGTGTCAAAAATGCGGTACCGGTATACAACTTACCGAGTCCATTACGTTTTACTCTCCAAGACTGAAGTCTAACTCTCTGCCTTTTACAATGCTTTTTATATTATTTTCACAAATATTGTGTCTGATATACGGACCAAGCGCAGACATCAGGGTGTAACTTTAAGTGTCTATATGGTTTATTATATCGTCCTTTATCAATCAGAAATACTTCATTCTTCGAATTACCTGTTCTTCAATGAGTAACGTAAAAGAGTTAAAAATAACATGACATTTAAGACGAAATCTTTATAACACCGATAACAATATAATACGAGAAGAATCTCCTCAACAATTTTTCATTATATAATATACTTCGTAGAGCTACTATTATTTATAATCAGTTTCGGACAGGTTTTCCTCAGTTGAACGCAGATCTTTATAAGAAACAACTCTCTATTACAGTTTGAGACAACTCTCTAGGGGCAGTTGAAGCAAGAGAACATTATATGCTTCATTGCCTTGGATATGCAGAAAATAGTAAGTTGTTGCAAGACATGTTGCTTAATGTGCTAATTAGCGATCGATTGTCCATGTAGCTGTTCTAGCAATTATAGCTATTCTGTGTAATTAGATATTAAGTCTCTTGTCGGCCACACTTAATGACATATACATGTGTTATATTCCTACACGCTGCATAAAAGTCAATCTCAGTTCTTCTGACTTTCCCTGTTCGTTCCAAAGTTCGCTAGACTATCCCTGTGGTTGGTTCATACGAATTGCTGTCACGGATTTTTAATGTCTTAAACTCCTTTAACGGGGTTTTTATTGACACAGTTTTATGTATCAAACGTTCATCCATGTATTGTTTCAAAGCATCAAGGCCATCTGAAACATATAAAAAAGGGCAAGGCAGACGTCGACGGAACGTAAGAAGGAAAAAGACTAAGTGTAGGAAAAAGAAAATGATGATATAACAAAGAAATACTAACTCTGTTTGTATGAGCATACTGATTTTATCATGTCGTCGTGGATATATTTTCTTTTTGTTATCTTTTTTCTTTTGCTCACCCGTATTTGAGCACGAAAGTTACACGGCCGCCTGCTATGTAAAAAATGCACAGTGTTATAACAGTCATGTCACAAAATTGATAACAAAAAGAAAATATATCCACGGCGACATTATAAAATCAGTATGCTCATACAAACAGAGTTAGTATTTCTTTGTTATATCATCATTTTCTTTTTCCTACACTCAGTCTTTTTCCTTCTTACGTTCAGTCTTGGAGAGTAAAACGTAATGGACTCCGGCTCAAACGATTGATGCTGAGATTTTTTCTGATAGTTTTTCGCATGTGCTAGCTGAAAAATGGCATATTTTCCTTTGCTGTAAATGAGCTTTAGTTTCTTCAGTAACTGACACAGTGGTTTCGTTCGAGTTATGCCGTATATGAAAGTCATCATTCACCTGATGACAAACATCAGTGTAATAACGGCTATATCACTGGTAATTGTTGATACCACAGATCGGAGTAAATACGATTTATACCAGCCTTCCACCAGGTCTGAGTTGAAATTGCCCGATATTCCCCCGTGATCTTTTCCCGCTTCGTTAATGCTGCATTCGAGCGCCTGATCTAGTGCGATGGTAGAGAAGGGTGGACTGGTTCTTCTAACACCGGATGATGTAGGTAATACTTCTAATAACGGTTTTGACCAAGATTGTAAATCGAATATGTGCTATGATGATAAGCGAGCATAGTTTCGATGATTTGTAATAAAAAATAGTGGAGCCACATTGTTTAATGCACAATCTCGCTCTTCAAAATTCAACGACTAGAATATAAAAAAAATTTAGAGTGCGAGGGAGACAGAAAGGAAAACAAACTAAAAAGAACAAAAACAACTTACTCTGATTGCAGTGCATAAATAAATCAATGGTTCGATCAAATCAAATAAGACAAATGACTAGAATTGAAATTTTAAATTGGTTTTACTTTGTTCGTTTCTCCAACCGTCAAATAAACTGTTATATTCTACCTCATCGATCAGTGCAATCCCTTCATTAAGCCATTGTTGTTTTGCTGTATTTGTGGCATAATCATCTGACATTTTTATCATTAATTCATCAATATCATTTTAAAGAAAAAAAAGAAATTAAATTTAATTAAAGAAAATTAATTTAAAAATTAAAGGAAGTTAATTATTAAAGAAATATCATTGCAAAGAAAAGTCGTGTAGAGCTGGGAGATGTCTCATTTTAATCAGAAATTTGTATGCTACAATCATGCCTCATTAAGAAAAGGTTTTGGTTATTTTTTAGAGTTTCTAAAAAACTGGTTTTCCAGAAAACCGAGCCTTCAAGAGTCATGGGTACAAATCCTTTTAGGGTATTTACTATCTCGATATATACTAGCGATCGGCATACGAAGGAAGGAAAATGGTGTCGTGCAATTCGATATGTTTCCTCGTTAGAAAAACTGAAAAACTAACAGTGATATCTCATTTTATTCAGATTTTGAGAATGCACATTGAGATGTATTGGCTAGTCTGTGTGAAAAACGGAAGTAAGTGTCTGCTTAACTGTTCACGCATCGAATTTAATGTGTACGTTATATTTTCTTGTTTCCTTAACCGCAGAAGGTTAACGGTGTGTCGGAACAATTTGCTGAACATTCGCATTCTATAGTTGTATAGAGGACACTCATGAAAGCGAAGTAGATTCTTATAAGCGTTTTAGACGCGTATCTTTTCATACGTTTTACATTTCCTAACTTTTCATCAATCAGTTGCGTTAATTGGTTGAGCCAGGGATCATTGGATCGCAGATGAGCGTTACCCGTGTGAATAATAGAGATAAAAATTTATACCAACCAACAGATAAGACTCATTGAGTTGAGCCATCTTCGAACATACGCGACTCGACAGCATTTGCAGAATCCACCGTATTCGATCGAGTATTCTGCACAATCGGGGCATATTCAGCAAACTCTGCCATCTTTTTCATCCATTCAAGTTGAAAAAGATTTTTCGACCGATAGAGTTGCTTCTAGGTGTCACTCACTGTCATACCCTCATTCTTCACAGTCAACTATCCTTTCCGTATCATTCTGATTCCTAAGAACATTATCATCTAATCGCAACCATTTAATGTAAGTATTTATTATTCTAACGAAACTTGTATACGTAACACTAATATTTAAAAAAGTATCTAACAGAGAAGAAGAAAAAACATTTATTCAAATATATAACCAAATTATAGAAAGTACGATACGCGTTTCGAGACACACTTTGGTGCTCACTTCAGTCAATAAAATAATTTAAAACTTTTAGAAAAACTTTTTCAAAAACATGAAATGTTTTTCGTTTTAGTTGAGTTTTGATTTTTGAAATAGTGGTCATGGATGTCAATTAATCTTCATCGTCTGGATTTAGTGATGGATGATATTTTCTTTTATTGTAAAAGACAGGCTTTCTACAAGCGTCTCGCCATAAATTTGTAGGTAAAATTCAAACAGCGCAGAAAAAGCTATACACTGAGATATGGTCATTAGAAAATGTTTAGTCTGACCGAATAAATTTTTAGGTGGGTCGTAAGAGATTTAGGTTTCTGCAAGTTAAAATACGCTTGACAGCAAAACCTGAGCAAGGATACACCGATGTTCTTTTTGGGCGTTTAATTATCAACCTGACAATTCTGTAACAGGAGAAGAAAATTGTGTGGGAAGGACATAAATGACAGTGACATAAATCTTACAGTTATAGTCACGTGTTATTACACTGATGTTTGTCATCAGGTGAATGATGACTTTCATATACGGCATAACTCGAACGAAACCACTGTGTCAGTTACTGAAGAAACTAAAGCTCATTTACAGCAAAGGAAAATATGCCATTTTTCAGCTAGCACATGCGAAAAACTATCAGAAAAAATCTCAGCATCAATCCTTTGAGCCGGAGTCCATTACCTTTTACTCTCCAAGACTGAAGTCTAACTCTCTGCCTTTTACAATGCTTTTTATATTATTTTCACAAATATTGTGTCTGATATACGGACCAAGCGCAGACATCAGGGTGTAACTTTAAGTGTCTATATGGTTTATTATATCGTCCTTTATCAATCAGAAATACTTCATTCTTCGAATTACCTGTTCTTCCATTACCTGTTCTGACCATCATGAGGTAAATGTAGAACAGAATGTTTATGGCTATGCATTCTTGCTCAGCAAGAATGCATAGTCATAAACATCAAAAATCAAAACTCAACTAAAACGAAAAACATTTCATTTTTTCTAAAAGTGTTAAACTATTTTATTGACTGAAGTGAGCACCAGAGTGTGTCTCGAAACGCGTATCGTACTTTCTATAATTTGGTTGAATATTTGAATAAATGTTTTTTCTTCTTCTCTGTTAGATACTTTCCCAAGCGTGAAAAAAAAATCTAGTATCTCCCGATTCATCTAGATTATTAGATTTTTACTCGATTGCAACTAGTGTGTAACGACAGTGGAAATCTAGTAACTGGGCGATTATTAGATTTTTTCTAGTTGCGACTATCGATTTATCGCCCGATAATCGATCGATTTAACTATTACTAGATGCACCTGCAGGCGCATCTAGTTAAAAGTCCCTTTTCCAACTAATAATCTAGATGGCAATTAGTCGTGTATCGCCCGATTACAGACGAAATGTATCTAGATTTTTCCCATAGGTGATATTTGCTTGGGTTTGTTAAATATTAGGATACTCTACTCACACACTGATTTAAAAATATTTTTTCTCAAGAATACGTAACACATCATTTGTACTTCTCTGATTCAATAAGAGGTAAAAGCCATCTAAAAGTGTCCACAGAAGTAAATCCTTCATTTTTCGCGCGTTTCACACTTAAATACCAATCGCTTTTTATTCCAAACGGCGAGTGATTATCTTTCGATGATTCGGAGGTCAAGTGGGCGTTTTTATCTACTGCTTTTTCAATAGATCTGACAAGATTATACAAGCTAATCGGTGTTCTTGAAGATAAATTGATTGGCCCTGTAACATCCGATAATGCGAGCCACAAGAGACCTCGTGCTGCATCACTCGAATGAATAAACGACATTCTTGCTTGAAGATTCGGGAAGTAGATCGGTTCATTGTTACGAATTCGTTGAATATGAAACAAAAGCCGTTTTGTATAGTCATTCGGCCCTAACACGATTGGAAATCTTGCAAAAGCAACCGGAAATGAGGCGTTTTGTGAGAGTGTAGCTTCCATCTGCCGTTTAGCTTCCGCATATTCATCGTACTCATTCGCTATTTCATTAAATTTATGAATTTGCGCTTCGAATTCATGTTCAGCCAAGTTTGATCCAAATGCGTAAACGGACATTGACGATGTCGCAATGTAACGTCCAACTCTGCCGGAGAACAGTCTGCATGCCTGAGCAGCATCTGTCGAGTTCATACAGATTTGGTCAAATATCAAATCCCAGTTCTGATAACAGGTTACAGTTTTAAATTCATCTATATCTCGACGATCAACTTTGGCATAAGTTATACCACAAGAATTATGGTTTATATCAAGCAACGGTTGCCGACTGACGACAGTAATTTGGTCTTTTTGATTTTCTGCCAACTTTTGCACCAACAATTTCCCAAAATATCGTGTACCACCTATCACAAGAATTTTCATCTTTTCAATGCTGATATGCTCTGAAAGAGAAATGTCTTCTCAATTAATTGTCATTTGCCCATTGCGGTCATCCTTAGTATAAATCTAGCACGCAGTGTGTGTGTGTGACAGTGTATAGATAATCTATTATAACAAATCAATTAGAAATACTTCCAACCTCTTTGGGATCTGCAGAGGGTGTGCAGAAACCCTTTAAGCTTTATATTACATTAGATGGTTTTCCGGTGGAATCAGAGAAGTTCATAGCATTTCTCATCTATACTGGTTGCGAACGCCGACAGAAGGGAAGCATGAGGATTGTTTTAAATTCAGAAATAGTTTTAGACCTCTTGAGATTTTTGCTTTTTATATTCATATTAGATTCCGAACCTTACACATGAAAACATAAAAAGTCCAGATGTCTTAGGCAGGTCTCCAGCGAGCGCCGACCGAAGGGAGGCGTGAGCATTGTTTTCGATTTATAAGTCACCAAAGGTCCTTCGCTTGCGCAGATCCAACTTAATAAAGTCAAATGACCAAGCGAGTGCAGACGAGCGTTACCTTGTAACTCTATCATAAACGATTCAATCAAAAAACACAAAAGGCCGATTGAATAATAACTAAGTACATATCAAATCGGATTCGATATTTCTCGAGGCAACCACAAGCAAAGACAGTAGGTGGCGCTCACTGACTTTTAAATCATGATCTTTATGGAGTGACGGGGTACTTCCTAATATTCAAGACTAAAAAACTCAGATGAATTAGAATCTGCGCTTTTTACCTATTCAAAGTGGCAATCAAGGTAAATGTACAGAAATATTCAGGGGAGTACGATTTCTACTCACATCCCAGCTTGTCCAAACGTAACGCAGTGACATTTTTGACACAGTAGTTCCCAGTTTTCTCGAGAAGTGGGAGACCTAGAAAGCTCATTCTTGCGTCATTCGATGCAGCTCGTTAAATTCTATCTATGGTAAAAAAATGAATTTTTGGTACAAATCTGAAGGCTCTGAAGTTATTCTACGGAGCGTAACGCAGTGACAAAAAAAGACCCCAAATTATTAGAGTAGTCGATAGAGCTACAATTCCCTGCCAAACTAAAGATGCATCTAGACATTTTCAAGAGACAAATTTATATCACAGATCACAAGCTATCGATTGGGAAAAAAAATTTTTCACAGAATACTTTTCTTGGTCAAAAAGATCTTTTTTGTGTCGTAACGCAGTGACAAACTTTTCTCTTTTGCTTGTTCTTTCCATACTTTTATATACTCTTACCTAAAATCGTTTCTCCAGCTCGGGATGGAGACTCGGCCTCCCTTGAGCTGGGTAGATTTTTGGATTTTTTTAAATTTTTTCTTTTTTTGCCTTTTTGGCTGTCAAGCGTTTATCAGTTCGAGAACAAACCTAAAAGCCCGAAAAGAAATATGTACAGACATGTGATAAGAAAAAAATATTCTACTACCCAGGTCCAATTTTACGACTGCCGTAAACGACCGTATACAGTCCTATACGACCGCCGTAAATCACCGTTTGCGGTCGTATTTGCATCGTAAACGGCCGTATACGGTGCAAATACGAAAGTAAACGGCCGTAACTACGCCAGCCGTTTTACGGCCGTAACTGCGTCGTGACCGTTTACGACCGTATTCCACCGTAAATGATTATATTCCCACGACCTCCGCTTCGTATTTATTCACATCGGTGATATGGTTTTTTTTCGATACATCTATTATATTTGTAATAAGAAAAGATACCAGAACACAAAACAAAAACAAAACATGAATTGTAATAAACTCATGAGTTATATATGAAATAATAGTGTTTCAGATTACTATTTGTTTAGAGAAATTTTATAGATCTGAATGTAGGATCTATAAATAGAACAAAGAACTGTTGTATCTGTCTTTACCCTCGAAAATACAGCAGTAAGTAAAACCACATATATACACGTACATATATATAAGAAAAATATTTCACTTATATAACAAATAACCCAAATTGCTTGATTAAATACTTTGAAACTGTTCAACGGCGATCTTGTGGCCCTAATAATAATATTTTAAGTTAAATCATTTTGTTGTATTATTGCTGTTATTGAACGTTGTCGGACTCTTAATTCTTTCAAACCATCACGTCGACGTTCTTCGATTAAAAAATCTGCTAATTTTCGTCGTAATAAATTTTTGTAAAATTCACTATAATAATCACGACTAATTCTATATTTTCCACCAACAGCTTCTAGAATTTGAAATAAAATTTCGTGTAAACAAATGGTAGAAGAACACAGATATAAAGGGTGTTTTACAATGGATAAGAAATAACCTCATTCTGAATGTTATCGAAAAAGTGATCAGTATTATTTACAGTAGGACAAATTCTTCTTCTTCTGCATCTCTACCAATTATTGTCAATCGTGCAGTATAGATTTTAATAAGACATAGAGCCATGTTTTAATCAATTCTTCTAGTTAGTGCATATAGTGAAGTAGCACCAAATAGAATTCTAAAGACTTACTTTGTAGTAATTCGAAACGTGTTTCATCTAATGGATCACGTCTTAAATATGGTGCACCTGGTGGTAATACTGATGTTGTTAATTCTTCTTTAGTAAATAATACTCTCAAAACTTTACGTGCGTAGTCACCATAATCTTTTCCTCTAATTTGTATTAAATTTTGATCATGAAATATCGAAAATGGTAAGAAAGTATAGACTAGATAATGCAGTAGAAATATGGTATGCTAGGTTTTATAATTATATTTACAACTGTATCCGGAATGTTTCATCTTTATCACCACGATATGATTCAAGTTGCTTCTCTTTCTGTTAAAAAAGGAAAATAATTTTTAGAATTACAAAAATTTCTTTAATAAGTAATTAACAACGAGCTTACGACAATTGTTGTTGCTGCAATACGATCGATTTTTTTGCCAAATTTAATCATTTCCTTTGAAATGTTATGTTTAATACCAAGCATATAATTATCAATTTTTTGAAACCGTAATTCTTCTGCAAGAAATAGGACAGAAAGTATAAACTTCGTTCTTATGGATAGATACATTAGGAAATAAGACTAATGTTTAACTAAAGAACGTTTCTCGTCTTTACTTTCATTATCATTTTCTCAGAATGTTCAGCACCTGGTGAATTTGAACGACAACTTGTCGATGAATAGCCACGATCATCTTTTACAGCACTTAAGTTTAGATTCGCGATCCTACCAAAAGACATAAGTTTTATATTAAGAAAAACATTGGGAATTTTAAAACACCAATAGACAAAACTAATGAGATAGTCTCCTTAGGTGAAACGTGTATTGTACGTAGGCGATTTCTGTTGTGTGTGCGGTATTCTTCTTTGGAATCACTTTCTGTTTCATCATTTTCATGGTCACTTAAAATTGATGCGTCTGACTGACAATCATTTTCATCAGTTAATATGTCTTGAAAACAGGAAAAAGAACGACGATTGTTTAAAGCACATAAAAAAACAACGATTTTGTTCTTACCATTAATCCGTTTTCTTCCTTGATATTCATTAGTTAACCTTCTTTTTGTATTTATTTCATGATTTGAACGTTTATCTGAATCTTCAAACAAATCGAAACAACATTTTGTGCAAATAAACAGATTAAGGAAAACGTTAAATTATATGTTTTTATGCACTTTTCCTTCGTATTCACTCATTAATTGTCATTCTTACAAATTCCCATGAAATTTCCATGCGTTTTTATTAGTGACATTAGAAAACCACAAATTTGCGGACGTGATGGAATTGCTCTGAATTATAAATCATTTTTCCTAAAAACGTGCCGGGGCCTCGGAAAAAATCAAGTTTTTTTTATAAAAACTCGTTTTTCTTAAGGAAGGAGCGTCCTGCCCTTTTAATATTGTCTTTTTTGTCTGAAAATCCGTTTTAATTCATTTTTGGTATCAAAAAACTGACCAATTCTCAATTTTCTCAACCAGAACTCAAGTTCTATGTAATAAGAATATCATATTCGGAATTAGGGTCGAAAACTGAGCCGATTGATGTGTGTCTCTATCCTATGCAAGCACTTTTATGTTTTTCGAGCTCGGAAAGTTCTATCGAATAATATATCGCATGATTTGCTTCCATTTGTTCTGACATCCGGAAAATTTGCTTTGTCCACTGGAGCGCCACTAATTAGTGCTAACCAGAACTAATTAGAGAATATCGTTTTTAAACGTTTTTGTATGAAATTATATCTACAAACAATTCTCTATAAAACTACATTGCAATCAATAGAATGTAAAATTTATATTGAAAACTAGAAAAGTTTTAAAAGATGCCTCTCAAACTAAAAATTTCAATTAATTTTGAACTTAACTAATTAATAACTCTGTCAATACTTGACCAACGAATTTTTTATTGCATATGCATACCACGGAAGGTGTTTTTTTCTCTACAAACTGGCCAAGTTTGAGGGCATGGTTAGGAGCAGGACACACCTCCCCTTAAAACCGATAATTCTCTAACAAAAAGTTGAACTTGAAGTTGTAATTTTTAGCAATGTTTTACACTAGATGATAGAACTTTCGGCATTTTATGGATGGTTGAAACGTGACCAGTGTTTAGACTACTGGAAAGGAACCGACATCAAAGGCAAGTATTAAACATTATAGTAGATGAAATGAGCAGGAAAAAGCTTCTGAAAAAAGTTCTTTCCGAAAAATAATTTCATCAATCAGCTGCTTGTGTAGACGAATAGTTTGCATGTTTGATCATATAGATCAATAAAACGTAAGTTCCTTACGTGGATTATGAACATTTTCATGAATATTTGTTCCAAGAGAATTTAACGGCATTCGATGATTAACACTATTATCTCGTAAATAATTATTTTCATTGTCTAAAAAACGATAACCAAAATTAAATAATGAACATTGGATTCAACTGGTAGAGATAAAATGAAACCTTCTAATTCTTCTGGTTGAGGTAATAGACAATCCCAAGCTTGTTTGCATTCTTCATATGTACCTAAAATAGACCAAAAAATAAGTGTAGATGTATTTGTTCAAAAAAAAAGCATATATGTTACCAGATTCAATTATTTTAGCCGTTATGTGCTTGTTTTTAAGAAAAATAGTTGCTGTTTCTTCTAATATTGTTCTAATACTTGATCTTTTCACAATATTATATGTATCAGATTCTTCAAAATACAACAAATAATATTCTGGTAACGGTTGTTCTGGCGTTGTCGGAGTAAAAGGCTTTCTCGTCTGTCTAATACGAGAACTACGTTGTGTAGTCATATTTAACAATAACGACTTTATCAAATTACTATAGTTAGTCTGAAATAAATTTCAATCAGACAAAGCGCATGTAAAACAAAACCTAAGAAGAGTAAACATGTTTTTTTGCTATTCTCTTCAGTCAAATAACTAAAATTAAGAGTCCGTGACTCTTTTTGCTTATCTTCACCATGAAAAAAAAATTGTAATAGAAGCACCAGAAATATCTTTTTCGTTAACTTTCAGGCAGCAGATTTCTTTTTTGTCAAGTAACTTCATAGACAACTTTCTCTTTAAAGAATTAAATAATCCACCACACCATATTTAACGCCAGGTAAAATAACCACAAAAAACGTCTAAGAATCACGAATGGAAGCACTTTCTTTTTAACGGTGGTTAGATCATAATCTGAACGAAACGAGTTCAACAATAAATTTCCGGAAGCGAAAAGCGCAATTAATGTGCTATAATAATCTGCCAGTCTAGGCAAAATTATTTTATTGAACGTTATGGCTCATATACCTGCTCTATACAATTTTTTACTTGACAATAGTAAAAACCACTCTTGTACTTCGGAAGGAAACCTTTTCAAAAACCAAAGTACTTTCTATTGATTTTTAAAGCTTTTATTGAACTGCATAATATTGAGCAAGGGAAATCGAGTACATCTTCGTAAGCTGACATTTAGATCGACCTTGTCTGGTGTATGAATTTTTTAATTTTACTCAAAAATAGACAAGACTGGGTTATTTCACCCAATATAGATTTTCACCAGGTTTTTAAAAGTTGAAAGTCATAGTGTAGATAAAAACTCTAAAAGGATTCGTCCCATTAGCTTGTTCCTGGTGAGATATAGAATTTTTAGTGAATTTTCCCTAGAGAAACCCAGTTTTCCAGTCAAATCATATCTTGGAATTTCGACTTGAAGCTTTGACCGCATGAAGTTCTAAACTAGACTAGCTTTCATAAAAAGTTTCAGAATTTTTGGACGAAGTCTCTTCGAGTTATGAATTTTTCAAAAGATGCATGTTTTATACACTATCGCTGAAAAAGCGCGTATAGCTTCGAAAATTGATAACTCGTAGAGACTTTGTCCAAAAGTTCTGAAACTTTTTATGAAAGCTAGTCTAGTTTAGAACTTCATTCGGCCAAAGTTTCAGGTCGAAATCCAAGATATGATTTGACTGGAAAACTGGGTTTCTCTAGGGAAAATTCACTAAAAATTCTATATCTCATCAGAAACAAGCTAGTGGGACGAATCCTTTTAGAGTTTTTATCTACACTATGATTTCTACCTATGAGGAAAATATCAGCTCAAACGAAGTGTATCAGTTGGTGAGGTTCCCTCGTAAGTTTCGTCAAAGAAGTTAAAAGAGCCATTGAGAATTCTGAAACTTGTGATATTTGTTTTTCCTTGCAACTAAGTTTCACCAAGGAAATTAAAAGAGCGATTGAGAATTCTGAAACTTGTGGTATTTGTTTTTCCTTGCAACTAAGTTCCACCAAAGAAACTAAAGGAGTCAGTGAGGATTCTGAAACTTGCGACATTTCTTTTTCCTTACAACTAAACTTCATCAAAGAAATTAAAAAAGTCATCACGAATGCTGAAACTTGTCAGAATATTTTTTCCTTGCAACTAAGTTTCACCAATGAAATTACAGAAGTCATTAAGAATGCTGTAACTTGTCATATTTCAGCAAGGGGGAAACAGCTGATTTCTGAGCTTAAAAAATCAGTTTTAAGAGAAAATCGTTAAAAATCACTAAAAATTGTTAAAAATCGCTAGAAATCGGGAAAAATCATTAAAAATTGTTAAAAATGACTAGAAATCGGGAAAAATCATTAAAAATTGTTAAAAATGACTAGAAATCGGGAAAAATCATTAAAAATTGTTAAAAATCACTAGAAATCACTAGAAATCGGGAAAAATCATTAAAAATTGTTAAAAATCACTAAAAATCGGCAAAAATCACTAAAAGTTGTTAAAAATCACTAAAAATCGGCAAAAATCACTAAAAATTGTTAAAAATCACTAAAAAGCGGCAAAAATCACTAAAAATTGTTAAAAATCACTAAAAATCCTTAAAAGTCGTGAAAAATCGCTTAAAATCTTTAAAAATCGCGAGATTAAAAACATAGATAGTCTCGACTATACAAAAATAACTGTTTGAGCAGTCTAGAAAATTCGATTT